ATCATCGCTGGCTGCCAAGCTTCCCTCCAGCTGGCTTTTCCGCTGTGCTGAAACGCAAATGCCCCCAGACAGGTGATGTAACAATGAAGATAGTAATGTAAGCAGATTAGAAACCACTAACACCACTGAAGACGATGTGAAAGAAAACAGATGCAGGAGAGATGTTGTTGTGTGTAGTTCAACTGCCTACGTTTTTAAAATAGAGTTCCCCTAGTGTCTTTGTTTAGTTTTAATTGTGCCAAATCTGGTGACAAATCAAAGTGACACTAGGTTTCACTATAAAAGCAAAGATAGAGATCATATAATTACTGAGAAAGAACATGATATTCTTCCTTCTGTTCTTCCTTCACAAGAAGAATAGGTAGCATATAGTTCTTTCTTTTTTTCCCTTCCTTCCTTCCTTCCTTCCTTCTTTCCTCCATCAGCTCCTTCCTTCAATCATCCATGAAGAGGTATTCTGTTCATCAGGTACTTAGCATTTAAACACCTGCATCACCAAGTGGGTGAAAGCTGATGCCCCCTGTACGTGTGGCCTCATTTAGACAGAGCTGCTCTTTGATTTTATTGAACTTTTTTTAAAAAAAAAAGCATGCTGGATTCTTTTAAAATGTTACACTGAGATAGTAAATTTAACTCCTGCTGAGAGCAGAAATAATTGCCTGATGTGGGCTTAAAAAAAACACGTTAAAAGGTTTAGCTCAGTTTTTCGCCTTTATTTTTCAAGTCTATGCTGAACAAGTTATCTAAATAGAAAGGAACACTTAAATAGCTAGTGTCTGCAAGTTATTTTTTAAAAAGCCTTCTTCTGCTTCAAATTGATATTGGATATTGTATGGATCTTATGCTTTGGCTCCCTTTGCACTGAGGATAATTAAGTTGCGATTTATCAATATTTGTATTATATTGGCTTGGCAGGATTGACCTGCTTTCATACTTTTTGGCAGGAATCAGGAGAGGTGATTAAATCATTTAGGTTGCGAAATACAGCTGTAGTTCAAGGTTGCCTCATGGAGTCCATCTAATAAGCAACGTATATTTACCTTTGCATGAAAGGACCATTGTTCTCCTCAACTTGATTTTCTTCATACAGGTTTTTTCAAAAGTTTTGTGGTTTTTTTTGAAGCCGTGTTTCCTAGAATTAATGCAATATATGAATGTAATTCTTCCAGTATTGCTTTTGTTGGAGAAGTATGTAGGAAATCCAAGTTTTTCACCCCACTGAGTCAAGAAACTTTGGTCCAGCCACACACTCTTAGTCTGATTGACCTCACAGGTTAGTTGTGAGGATAAAGTGGGAGGAGAGCTACACATATGCTGCTTTCACTTTGGTGGAGGCTAGAAATAAAGGCCAAAAGTGGTCAGTCAAGTCCATCTTAAGCAGCCTAATTGAATGGATGGTAAGGACACTCTGCCATAGGAAACTTGAATTCTTTGGAGGAAAATCAGGCTGTAAATAAAACTAAAAAGTTACTATCAAACAAAAAATGACCATTCACGTATTTCAAGAGAAGGGGCTTAAAAGAGCAGGCCAAGATTCACCATGCATACGTAACATCTGTAGGGTAAATAGGAATCAGAGGTTAACCGGATATTACCAGGATTGAAAAAATAATGGATAACCTCTTAAAGGTAAAGGTTCCCCTTGACATTTAGTCCAGTTGTGTCCGACTCTAGGGTGCGGTGCTCATCCCTGATTCCAAGCCATAGAGCCAGCATTTTGTCCGAAGACACTCTTCCGTGGTCACATGGCCAGTGCGACTTAGACACGGAACACTGTTACCTTCCCACTGAGGTGGTACCTATTTATCTACTCGCATTTACATACTTTCATACTGTTAGGTTGGCAGGAGCTGGGACAAATGATGTCTAGTTGATTCTGTCTTATGACTGTTGCAGCACAAGTTAACCCGCAGCGCCACCACATCCCCTTAGGATAACCTCTTACCCAGATGCATAAACCTTCAATGCCTTTGGCAAGTATGATGATGATCCCTGTGCAAACCCAGAGTAGAAGACTAGCTGTGTAAAATAAAATGTATTCTATTTTTCATGTTGAATATTTTTTCAGACCTCCTTAAAAAAACAATTGGTGTGAGTTTAACCCGTATGTGTGTGTGTGTGTGTGTGTGT